CGTCTGATAAAAAACAATTTTCCTTGCTAGTTACAGTGTGCTACAGATAGGTTCAAGCAGAGAAAGATACTTCATTATTATAATGGAATTTCCAAACAGAAAAACCAAAACATTTATCTACAAGATCAGAGCTCCTTTAAGTCTCATTTTGTTTTTAAGTAGACAGCTGCGTGTATCAGCTATTCCTTCATTCACTGAAACAATTTCCAGGCCTGTATCAGAGGATGTCAGCTTTTGTTGCTTCCTTTGAATTCTGAGAAGTATGCATTTAGTTATCTTATGCTGTGCTGGACCTCACATGTGAGGAGCATGAGACCAATATTGCACCAGTATCCTTCTTTCTGGAGTTATTTTAACTAATTAGAAACTTGTGTTTCTAATTATTTTGCTGAATTTACTTTGCTTTAATATATCTTCTTAGCAAATTACCCTTTATTTACAGCATTTAACCAAGAGTTTAAGGTCTCATAAACAAATGGAAATTTGTTTATGTAAGCATTAAGCTAACCTCAACAGCCTGTTTTTGTTGCAGTTTATTCTGCTATAAAGTATGAGTGACTCCACTGAATGACACAGTTATGCTGTTATAAAATGAGAAGACATGAGAAGAATCAGTAGAGACTTACAATCTGTCAGTGGACTTTGAATTCCCTGTTTGTGACATCCTTCAGTCACAAGAGCAAAACAGACACTGAAGTCCTAAGGTCTCATGACAGAAATTGTGCTGGATCCATGTTCTGTCTCTGTCCTCTCATTATTTGCACATGTTGCACATCACTACAGCAAACTTTACCAGAATATAATCACTGACAGCCTCATAATTCCATGTCCATTTGAGATTTTTTTAAAGAAATGTATACCTTACCGATCCAGATAACAGAAATAACAAACATCAGTTAATTTCCAAAAACACCGGAATGTCTCTGCTGTGATGCTTTGAAAAGTTTGAAATATGTCAAAAAAAGGGGACAGTTTATGTTCAATAAGAAGGGAAGGGGGCTGTCATTTCCACCAGGACCATTATTCCCCCGTAAATGAGAAAGAGAGTAGAAATAGGATAATAATTAAAAAAATTATTGTTTGAAACTGAAGACTTGTCCAAATTAAAGTTCATAACTGCCTCCTGCAGTGAGACTGGAACATAACAACTAAGAAAATACTTGCAGTGGAAAGCAAAATTAAGACAATTATTTCTTTAGAAGCTATGGACAAAGGGCTCCAGAAGCCTATGAATTCAAGGGGGATTAATATAAGAAATGCAACAGTGAGACTCTTAGACTGTAAATTTAACAATTATTAACATCTTTATTCTACTGTTGTAAAAATAATGTGGAAGTGTTTTGTTTTCCACTCAGAAAGCATAATGCTTCAGACTGGAGTTTAAACATATTTAGGGTTTATATCTTTCTAAAACAACTGAATTAGATCTATCTAAACTCACAGCCAACATTATAATATTCCCTACCACTTGCTTTAAAACAGAGGAACTTTTTTCCTCAATAAATCTTGAGGCAGAACAATGATCTCGGGTAAGGTGAATGTTATAAAGCATGATGCTTATGGCTTATCGCGATGAATGTAGTTAGGCTCTCCTTAATATTATAAAGGTTATAATAAATACAATGGAGTAGAATAATAAATAATATAAGAGGTAGTATTTATTGGCACAGTGATAATTGCTAACAAGAGCTGCTCCTCATCTCTCTGTAAGGGAACTGAGGGTCTGCAGGTGTCTCGGCATACTATACGGGAGGAAATGCCGACTTTTCAGTAGTGACCGCTGTACATTTCCACCCTCAATGTGCCTTCCATAGCAAGGCAGCTGTTTTACGTGTTACCTGCTTCAGCTCAGTTTACTCTGTCTGGACCCTTTATTCTTCAGTACTTGTCAGCTGCTAGTCTCAGCAGCACTCAGTGGTATTACATGTAGCTCATAGGCTCAGCACTTGTTAATCGAGCCTTGTGCACATCCCTCTCTACACAGCTGAAAAAGAAACGGGAATGCAATATTGCTCTTTATGTGACTCTGTCTCCACCTGTGTTGCAATAATTGGCAAGAGACCAACTATCAGTCACTACTGAGCTGCATTTTATTCCTCTCCCTATTAATAGAACTATACCTGCTTCATTTCTTTTTCATTGCTTCAGTGCTTATTTAGGTATTGACAGACGTGATGCATACCAAATACTTCCAGCCACCCTTGCAAGGCTTTATTAGCACTGAAAATCCACACCCTAGCCTGAGGCAGGAGGCCCAACAAATCATCTACCATTTGGAATAGCAAAGGACATCATCACAGTTATGAGGGCTTGGTCCCAACCCAGCAGAGAATACAAGGATACGTTTCCCTAACGATATAAGGAATGTGAGCACATTCCACCTTTTAAAAAAAGATCAGTGCCAGTCGGATGTCTGTCTGTTTCCTGCACCATGTCCTCCAAGCCTATTGAATAAAACTTCAGATCTTTGTCCTTCTCTCCATTGACTTGAGCATAGGACTTCCACAGGATGAACCCCGAGGTCAGCAGCTCCATTTCGCGCACCCAGCCAGAAGCAGAAAGCTCGTCTGTGCAGGAGACAGAGTCGCAAGCCATGGAACTAAGCAATGTAAATCTCACCACCTTGAACTCTGAGGGCACACCGTTTTTAAACCTTTATTTCTCCATAAACACACATAACACGTACATCGAAGGAAATCAAACTCAAGCAAACTGCTGTCAAAATAAAACACGCCATACATAAACAATTCTCTCACTGAGGAAAGAGAGTAAGGGAACAGTTTAACCTGAACGTCCACAGATACCCCAGTGATGATGGCGTCAAGAAAACATAACAGAGTAACACAGAGAGTTAAGTGGCTATTGCCAGTTGGTAGAGCATCATGGCTTTCATGTAGCTACATTGATTTAAATGGCTGAAGATCTGTGCTCTAACCTTCAACATAAGTTGATAAACCGGCAGGTTCTACAGAAATAAGTTTTAGAACCGAGTGAGGTCATCAAGAGCAGATGGGCAAAAGGAGCTGTATACTGCACATGCCCTCAGACAGGGTACACTCATTCTCTAAGGCAAAGATCAGACAAAGCATATGAGAGAAAAACCTGCCAGCTCAGCATTTTTACAAATGGAGAAGTACCTTCCCCCTTTCACTGTGGTTACCACTGTGTTCAGAAAACAATGACTCTTTGGCCCACCCCCCTGGTCTGACTGTACCACTACCTCCAGCTGACTGGGGTGACCCACAAACGGCACAGCCTGATGTTCAAAGTCATTATATGAAAAATACCTTGCCGTTTTGCACAATAAATAGTTTCGGCCTGGAATTAGTTAATGGGGAAATATTTTGGCTACTTTTGCTGGAGGGATTTGCTTCGCT